GTTAAATCTAAATGTACTTGGGCTTCCCCAGGAGGCTATAAACACTATCCAGAGCACTAGAGCTCCATCAACACGCTCGCTGTACGATCTTAAATGGCAGGTGTTTGAGGACTGGTGCACTCGTTTTTGCAGTGTTTACTGAACAATGGGAGAGCGTTCTCTACTATTAAAGTTTAATTGGCTGCTTTTTCCGCTTGCCATGTAGGGTTCGAAGGAGTTTCAGTGGGTCGGCACCCTCTTATATGCCATTTTATGAAAGGGGTGAAGCGTTTGAGACCAGTGATGAAGCAGCTGGTCCCGTCATGAAATTTGTCCATGGTCTTGAATGCTTTAACTCAGGCCCCGTTTGAACCTCTGGAGAGTGTTCATATTAAGCTCCTATCTTTGAAAACGGTCTTACTACTTCCTTTAGCCTCAGCTAAGCGAGTGGGTGAGTTACATGCCTTGTCGGTTCATCAAGCATGTCTGAGTTTTAATCCGGGTGACAGCAAAATTACGCTGCTGCCAAACCCAGCTTTCATTCCCAAAGTCAGTGATTCATCTTATAACTGCTCTGCTTTGGAGTTGCGTGCTTTTTACCCTCCTCCTTTCTCTTCTTCTTCGGAGAGGAAATTGCACACTGTGTGTCCTGTACGAGCGTTACGCTATTATGTAAACAGGACACGATCGTTCAGGAAGAACGATCAGTTATTTGTTTCATGGGCCACTCATTGTAAGGGTAAGCCGATCTCCTTGCAGCGCCTCTCACATTGGATGGTGGAGGGGATCGAACTAGCCTATACATCTATGGGTCCTCATTCCCCAGAGGGCTTAAGAGCTCATTCTTCACGAGGTATCACTACCTCATGGGCTTTGTTCAAAGGGATTTCGGTGGGAGTTATTTGTGCAGTGGCAAGTTGGTCTTCACCGCATACATTTATCAGATCTTACCGCCTTGATGTCACTACACCTTCATTGGCTCATACAGTTCTTAAAGTGTGCTCTTTGGAGAATTGAAAGGTTATCTGTCTTTTCGAGTCTGTTCGGCGGCTTCGGAAAGCATGCGTTACGGGAGTTGGCTATATCATTCCCATAGTGAGATACCAAGCAATTGTTTGAAAGAGAACATTAGGTTACTTGCGTATCCCCGGTTCTCTGAGAACAAAGCGAGGTATCCACCAAGCTTTCCTACTCGCATAACACGGGGGAAGAGCATGCTTAGAATGCCGTTTCGGGGATCATAGCTGTATATATAGGGAGGGGGTGGGCTCCTTGTTACGAGCTGTGATTGGTCCGTCCTTCGGACAGACGTGGTGTGATTGGTGCTTCCATAGTCTATGACGCCTGGGGGCATTCCCATAGTGAGATACCTCGCTCTGTTCTCAGAGAACCGGGGTTACGCAAGTAACCTAACGTTTTCGAGTTTTATTGTGTTGTTTTAAGTTCCATGTGGAAATTGTAAATACAATTTATTTATTCACTTTATAACTGACGTATGTCTCATCTTTTTAAACACTCCATGGCATGCTCTCACATAGTCTAATCTGACCCCATCTTATCAATTGTAACATCTTGCGATAAGGCCGAACATTACAATTTTAGGCTGAAAAATAGATTTTGATTATATAATATAAATTATAATACAATAATAATGTGAAGCAAAAATGCTACACAGAACAAATAGTTGTATTACTGAAGACAACATGGTAGAAAACAAAACAGAATAATTCTAGTGCTGCAGGTGTTTCCAAGCTGGTGTCAGGTTATAGGAGTGAATTATTCACACCAAAATACTTGTCTCTTTATAGCATATTGTATATTAAAACCAGTTAAACTCTGCGGACCCGGATACGGGTCCAAAATGACGTTAAAAATGTTTATGCTTCATTTACATAGCCTTCCTTATATGGTATCAGCCCATATATGGGTTCATTTGAAAGCAAAGAATACCATTCCTTTTGGTTTTTATATTCATAAAGCAGTAAAATTAAGCTTAGAAATTTATTCGTCCCACACACGAATTTCCGCCTAACCATTGCGAATAATTTTTACGAAGAATGTGTATTTTATATATTTTTCACAAAAAAGTCAAGTCATATATCACAAGAAAGCTCTCATTCTCAGGAATTTGACGATGTAGATTATTTCATTGTGTGACAATCACAGATCGAATTATCTTCGATAGAACCGCGATGTAAAATTTGGTCACCTCTGAGCGAATTTACATTTATACTCGTAGCACTGCTTCAGTCAGCCGCAAACAGCCACAAATATCTATATACTCTATATTATCTTTTAGATTAGGATCTCTTCTTTATATTTCATAATGTAGACAGTCTTGTGCATCCTGAAATAATTAAACTTGATTGTAGAATAAACAATATTTGAAATTTGGTCCAATTCGCTTGTGCCATTTGGTATATTTCTACTTAGAAAAACATAAAAATGAAACATAATTCAATTAATAATCAATTAAAGTGCTTGTGGCACAGAGTAATGTAGGATTGTGGGGTTAATGTGTTTTATAAAGCCTGTTTTTGCAAAGGAAACTCACAATGACACATTTCGATGCAGAGATAGACATTCTGACTCGCTTCACAAATAATGTAGTAACTCCTGTTTAGAAGCTGTTATTTGAAAGATTCTTTTTTCTGGCACTTTTTGGCATCTAGTGGCATCAAACAAAGTAAATTGCAGAGAGTTGTGCCTAATAGAACCTGAATTACAGATTTTCAAAAAAATACTTACTTTTAAAACTCCAAAAGCGCCTATGTTTTTTTTGTGTTTATAGTAATATTTGAAAAGTATATAATGTTATTTATAAAGAATTACACTCATATTTTGTAGTTCAAAGGGTTTTCTTTACAATGAAACCATTTTTTTTCATTTCCTCCATTGTATGTGTGTAGGGTAAACATTTGAATTTGAGTATGTTAAATTTAGGCGAAAATACCAAAAAACGCCCTGAGCTTAAGTGGTTTTAAAAGAGACAAATAAAATAGTCTCTCCATTTTAAATGGAAAGCAATATATTTAACTATGTCTGACAATTTCACAAATCTGTTTTCAATATTACTGGGATATATAAAAGTCAAATTAACATTTAATGACTTCCTAACTTCCTACATTTCACATTCTCAGTGGAGCCCAACCCCGGTAACACTGATGAAAGCAAATAGCCTTTTGGACCTGGTAAATCATTTATTCATCAAAAGATTATGTTTCCTCATCACAACTCATGCAAACATATCTTCTAGTAACAAAAGTGAAAGACTGTCATACTTGGCAGCTTATTTAAAATAATAATTCACCTAACTGATGTTATCTTGAATGTCTAAATTTTCTCCATACATTTAAAACAATCTATTTTTTTCATGCTAAATTCATTTATGCCAGAGAAGAACTGGTACCCAGACTAAGCCTGGTTTATTCAAAGTTTTTTTTTCTCCATTTCTGTCACCTGATGGAGTTTGGGGTCCTCAGTGTCACCTTCTAGATTGCTTAGTTGGGGTCTGACAGACACTTAAGTTTTAGTCATTTATCGATATCACTGCAGTGACCGACATCGTCGGATAAGAACAAAACTTGAAATGAATTAAGCTAGATGATAGCAATACCACCTTTTCTAGAGCTGCTTTACAGCTGAATCACATATTGCAATATCGACATTGCTATTGAATTGACTCAACAATGAACTGACTCAATGAATCAGATAAACTGAACTGATGAACTGAATAATGCCATTGCTGCCTTTTGTAACTGCTTATAGCTACTGATTAACTTCACAAAGATATTAATCTGAACTGACTTGAATTAAATAATGAAACCATTGTCTTTTAGGGCTGATTTACAGCATAATCTGAACAGTCTCCATAGCTGAGTTTTCGTAATTGATTCTGCTGTTTGCCGTTTATCTCTATGAACCTGCTTTGACAAAACCTGTATTGTATAAAGCGCTATAGAAATAAAGGGAATTTGACCTTTGGTGCTTGTTCCCATAATAAAACTAGAATAATACAAAACACCAAGACAAAGAAAACATGAACAATAGGTTCCTAACTTCCTACGTTTCACATTCTCAGTGGAGCCCAACCCTGGTAACACTGATGAAAGCAAATAGCCTTTTGGACCTGGTAAATCATTTATTCATCAAAAGATTGTTTCCTCATCACAACTCATGCAAACATATCTTCTAGTAACAAAAGTGAAAGACTTATTTAAAATAATAATTCACCTAACTGATGTTATCTTGAATGTCTACATTTTCTACATACATTTAAAACAATCTCTTTTTTATGTATCACAGCAGAAAGAAAGCCATACAGGTTTAGGACAACATGAGGGTGAGTACATTTTTTTTTTTTAAATTTTGACAGAATACAAATTTTGGGGTGAACTATCCTCTTAAGGAATATCTCAAATTTGATGAAAATTGCAAGGTTGTAACACCATAGCGACCAGGAAAAGAATGCCTCTTTATTCAAATGTGTCAAGGCACTGTTTTGTATACTGACTGCCTAAGGCAACAAAACAATTCTGAACATTTCAGAACCTGTACAAACAGGCTTGTGCTCTGACAATGACTAAGCCTGAGGGTGGGGTGTATAGTGTGTGCAGCCACTCATATGGGCATATCCAACACACTGCTTTAAAGCAGAAAAGACAAGCTGAAATCTAGCATGGTGCTTCAAGTACAAAGAACATAAGATATGCTGTGAGTACTACTGAAGATTTTAATTGCATTTTTTCAATTATTTTGCCAATAGATGTTTGATATAGCATAAATTAAGAATAAGCTGTAGGTGTCTTTATAAACAATTCAATTTCTACCACATCAAAATTTTAAATGCTTAAATATCAATGTATATTAAAAGTAACAAAATTAGATGTATATCTCAATACTTGTGATCTGCTGCATCTGAGCTTTGTAATGCATAATTTGTATCGTTTATAGAACTTTGACATATGTTAGCATGTGATCTGTTGATACAATATTAATGCATTATTAAAGAATATGCTCACCTTTTGAAGAATGAAGGGTTCGTTTGCATCTTTAACTATTTTTTCTTGCGCCAAAATGTCTCTCAGATGTTCATTTACCTGTATTGGAAAATCAACATAAAATAAGCACATGCAAGCAAACATAAACACACAAATTTTGCTCTGATTTTGCTCTGCATTGAGTGAGTATAACTGATCAGTTTGTTTTTTATTATTTCCGTAAGCCTTGTGTATAGAATAATTGTCCATAATGTGGTGATAACAGCCTCTGGTGGCAAAACTGATAATTACTGTATGTGGATGTGACTCAAAAAAGCATTCTTCTTATTGCAGAGTGCTGTGCAGCACAACGAGAGGAGAAATATCAGAGAAGGAGAGACCAGTTTTATCTGAACATCATACGTGCTCAAATAATCAAGAGGATGTAAGATACAAAAATACATAGACTACACTGAATGTATGTATGTATACCTGAAAAAAAACAAAATATATATAAATTAGTGCTGTCAAATGATTAATCGCGATTAGTCGAATCCAAAATAAAAGCTTTTGTTTAGATAATATATGTGTGTGTACTGTGTATATTTTTATGTATATATAAATACACACACACAGTGTATATATTTAAAAAATATTTACATGTATTTACATGCATATATTTATATTAATATCATTTATATTATATATAAATATATTTATTATATAAATGTAACATATTTTTCTTAAATATATACATGCATGTGTGTGTATTTATAT